TTTTTTTCGCAATTTAAAAAAGAGGCACAAAATAAGCCCAAAGTAAAAATGATGTACAAAAATGTGCCACATTGTGAAAAAGATGCGCAAAGCGCCACATGTGATAGTTATTTCTTTCCAAACTCTTTTAATCTCTTAATTCAAATTGATCTTATGTTCATTTATAATTGATATTGAAATTTGAAATATACAATTTTTTATTCATCCTTATTGCAATGATTTTCTCTATCTTAGTGTCTAAACTGACTCATGTCTTTGATAAATTCTTTTTATTATCTATGTTATATTACTTCTTAAATTATATGAATTTCTATGATTTGCCTAATATTTTAATTTTATTTGCATACTTATTTCAATCACTGTTAAGATTATATTATCAAATGATTTTCATATCTCTGCTTATATTTCAAGTCTTTTTTTTTTCTTATTCACTTTTTGCTATTGTAAAAAAGGGGGATAAATTATTTGTTGAATTGTGTCTTGTATCTTGTGAGTCTTGTAAATTATTTATTGAATTGTGTCTTGTGTCTTGTTAGTCTTGTATCTTGTGTTAGTATTTGTGTTTATTTTGTTTTTGTGATTATGTTGTTGTTTTGTTTTGTATAAAATTTTTAAAAAACAAAAAAAATTTTAAATTAATGCCTCCTTATTTTCATGCATTAATCAATTCAGGGGGAGTTTAGGAGATCCTTAGAATTTGAAATCCTACAAATAATAATTATTTTGTCATCATCAAAAAGGGGGAGATTGTTAAGAGAGTTGCTATTAGCATGTTTTACATTCTGTAACTTATATAGTTTTGATGATTCTAAATATTATTATTTTATGTGTAGTTATCTCCAAATATTTTTTAAGAAGATTTATTTTTGCTCTTGTGAATACTAACATTTCAGGAAAATTAAACTCCAAATTATGAAGACTTCAAATCAAATTCAGCATAAAATCCTTTGCAAATTGAAGCTTTAATTTTTTTTTTTTTTTGAATTGAGAGGGAATGATTGTACTTGATTGAAAAAAAACACACACACACATACTTAAGGAGATCTTACAAAATTTTTACTTATCATACGGGATGAACCTAGTTTGTACAGGACGATCAGGTCAGTTATCTCCTCGTAGGAGCAATGGAATGAACAAGAGTTGAGGAAATTTTTCTAAGTCTTGGTCGTCCAGGATGATATTATTTTTGTCACAGGACGAGTTAGGCTCTGTAAAAATTTCTTTCAGATAAAATTTATAACCGTTTAAGGACGACTTGGGCTCTGTAAAAATTTCGTCCAGACAAAATCCAAATCATCCCAGGACGAATTCTTCTCTGTAAAAATTTTGTTCAGACGAAATTCATTATCGTCCCAGGACGAGTTGCTCTCTATAAAAATTTCATCCGGATGAAGTCCTGTTCATCCCAGGACGATGTGAACCGACATACCACAGTTGGTTACGTCCTGCAGTATTAGGGAACCAACCTATGGTATAACTGATCGTACCGGACGAACCTAGTTTGTACGGGACGATGATCGTGTATGAACATAGTTCATACCAATATATATAAGGATCGTTTCCGACACTTTAAGTAAAATCATCCAGGACGATCCACGATCATACGGGACGATCCATTTTATGTTGACTTGAAAATTTACAGTTTTGGATGGTTTTTCTTGTCTCTCCTATATATAGTCCAATTTAGACTGCCACCAAATCTTTTTGCCATTTGATCTTCATGCCTATTGAAAGAAGAGTCAAGGAGAGAGTATGAGAGTGCATTCAAAGGAGGATTCCTACCATTGGAGCGTGAAGGCTTCGCTTTGTGTTCAAAGGTAAGAATCTATACTTGTGATTTGGGATTACTTCACTCTTTTTTTTCTTCCTTCTAGATTTCTTGTGAGGAGATCTATCAAGGAGATCCGGTTCTCTGCCGACACTAAGAGAGTGTGAAAAGATGAAGGGTTCTCTGCCCACACTAGGAGAGTGTGAAAGGACGAAGGGTTCTCTGCCCACACTAGGAGAGTATAAAAGGACGGACAGTTCTCTGCCAACACTGGGGATAATTGTAAAAGGAAAACGGTTCTCTACCGTACAGGGTAGTGGTGGAAAGAGTTTTTATAAAGGCTTCTCCGTCTTGTTGTGGGTGCTAAAGGAGAGTCACTAGTGGTATTAGTGCAATACTCGGAGGGTGCCTCCGGGGAGTGGATGTAGGTCTTGTTTTGTCTGAACCACTATAAATCTCGTGTTCTTTACTTTTTCGCTTTTTATTTTGTTTATCATTTACAACTTGTGGTTGAAAAATCTTTTTTTTAAAAATTAACTAATAATTAAGTTTTAATTTCCAAAGTTTAAAAAGAGGGTTCAAATTTTTTAATTACCAATTCATCCCCCTCTTGGTTAGCCACTAGGACATAAGCTTAGGTTTAACAACCAAATTCATTGTGAACGAATCTCAACATTTCTGTATCTACCTGTGGGTGGATGTTGTATATACATTTGTATTGTAGAGAAATCATATGTATTGCAGATCTTCTATAATCTTAATGAATAAATTGTAGCTTGCAAGATGAAGCCTATTCTCCACTTTTACTTGTAGGAGATTGATGTAACTAATTTGTAGACCTTCACATTCTGTTCGCCTGTCTTTTATTGTTCATAAGGACCAATGTGTATTCTGCTTGCAAGATAACTGGCCTTGGTCGTAGGGAAATTCACTGCATTCAATCGTCTGTTGGTTATTGTCCCTTGCATGTGAGGAGTCTCTTATTTATTCATTGTTACTCGTATTTGGATTCATATGCTGGTATTGTCAATCATCAGTTTAAAATTTTATATTGTTGATTGCGAACATATCAGTCCCAAGTTCTTGATCGTGTATAGGCACTTGCATTTTTGCACATGTATGTTCTTTGTAAGTAAATGAACATTTGAGCTAGCATGGCAATTCTCCAGTGTTGATTAAAATCTCGCATCATTGATTTCAATAATGTGGTTGTGCTTTCATTTGACCATTCCCGGTGAGCGAATGATGCTATGGATTACAAACTTTTCATTTTCTTTGAACACAGCTTGTAGTTTTCAAGGGACTCATGTGTGGATGATAGTTTCACTAAGCACCTTGTGTCGATTGCTTGGTCCCAATCATCTTTGATTCACCTTCAATCACTTAAGAGCATGATAGAGGCACATTTCTTATAGACGTGTTATAATTGTGAACTTGTCTCTACTCATTGTTTGCAACATGTATGATGGGGTCACACACAGCTTTCATTGATTATGAGCAAATCATATTCATTGAGATTTTAAAATAAATCTTTTGTTGCTTTATTAATGACCAAAACTTGTAATCAAAATGGGTGCTCACATTGGTTACCTCTTATGAACAAGATTAAAGAATTTTAGTTGTCATGAGTTGTTATTATATTTGTTCATCTTCATTTTGCCATTCTATTGTTCACTATCAAGTCCCACTTGATGTTGCATGACTTAAGTTCAATGTCTTCAAATCCCTATACACTTGGCTCAAGTCTCATTGTTTTATTTAATTCAAGTGAATTCTCTTAAATTAATTAAGTTTGCAAGCCTTTGTCATATGATTCAAATTCAAGTTCAATCTTGTTCAAAGGTCCACAAGTTCAAGTTCAAATATAGTTCAGGCTTCAGATGAGCCTCTTCTCTTCATTCGAGTCCCCTATAGTCTTTGCAAGTTCAAGTCCCAAATGCTTGCAAAATCAAATTCATATTCAAATTCTTTATTTTTATCATTTGATTTTCAAATCAAATATAAGCTAAAATCTTATAGTTTTTTTTTCAAATTTATTTGATTTTATGTTCATCTAAGTCAATTGAATCAACTCCACAAGTCCCAAATTCGGTAGCCTCCCGGCATCTCCCCGTTTAGGAGAAAAACCAAGAGGCCGCCTACGTCAACAAAGACGTGCACGGTTGGTGTTTGTGAGACACCGCGGCGGTAGTATTTTGTTTTTTCATCCACCACGCCAACAAAGGCGTGCATTGGGTTTTAAAAAAAAAACATTTTTTGAAAAAAGCATTTTTTTTAGCACGCTTCGTTGTAAGCACCGCACCAAGTTCCCTCCTACCACGCTAACAAAAGCGTGTATGGTTGGTCCCTACAAACATCGAAGGACTTTTGGGGGATTACCCGCCTCGCCACAAGTACCGCGATGAGCTCCCTCCCACCATGCTAACAAAAGTGCGCATGGCTGGTTACTCGCCGCGCCACAAGTGCCAAAACGGATTTTCCAAAATTGCAAAATTCTCTTGTGTTCTCTCCTTTCCTTTTTTTCTTTTTGCTTGTTTCCTCTTCCTCTTTGGTTTTTTTTCCTTGCAAGCTTTCTCTTTTATTTTTTTATATATTTTTTTTTTTTTTTGAAATTCTCTTTTTCTTCTTTCTTTTAAAAAAAAAATACACATTGGACATACATGTATTTGAAAATCTGTATACATAAGCAGATTATGGGATGTTTTAAGGCGGGATTTAAGAAAGATTTAGTTTTAATTCTCTGCTAAATAGATTTTTTTGTAAATTTTTAATTTTATTATTTAGATAAATTTTATTTCAGCCGAATTATTAGTTAAATCAAGAATTTATTTTTCCGATCATTTATAGGATTTAGATTTTATTTAGGATAATTTTTTTACTATTTTTAAAAACATTTTTTTTAGTTCAAAAATTTTTAAGCAAAAAAAAATATATATTAAAAAGCTTTTTTAAAAAATAGTAAAAGGCTATCCCAGTCTTAGCAGCTAAACACAAATTCCAAACCGAGAAATACTTAAACGGAAAATTTCACTTCATTAATTTCTCAACAGACTTAAACAATAAATATCATTATCACCAATGATACCAAATCAAGAATTAACTCCTACTTCAAGAGTTAATCCGACAAACAATTAGCAAAACAACTTGAAAGAATTACAAATCTCAACAAACAAAATACGATACTTAATCAAAGTCACCAATAATAATAACCATTCATCAATCCTAAAATCCCTTAAGAATTCACTTTTCTGCAATTCTTCCTTATCTCTCCATTTGTCCCTGTAAGCGGACTTAGATTCCCCATCCTCAGCATGGAAACACCAAAATCTGTCCAAAAGTCCCCACCATTCTTGCTATAATATTTAACAAGCTCATCAGCTTGGCTTCCATCTCCTTTAAACAGCTGTTGGTCAGAGTGAAGCAATCCCTTCTTCTGAACCAAATTCTTGAAATAAACCGTATCGAAGATCTTCGCAGATGAATCCAATGGTGAAAGGTTATTGTCTCCTCCCACTGGCGGGCATCTGGTTCGAACCGCGCTGGCAAAGCTGGCATCAATGGCTTTTGTCTCGTTGTATATTCTGCTTCTGAACGTTAAGCACCTGGCGAAGCCAATGGTGTGCGCACCAGATAGAAGAATAAGGTCTTTAAGACTAAGGCCATGGGATTGGAAGTTTGAGAGAAGAGAATTGAAATTGGAGAGTGGAGAAGGGATGTTTTGGTTAGCAGCTGTTCTACTAGCCGTTAGGGCGTCCCTTCTTCCTACTTGAACTTTGTATGAACGCCCTCCAAGCTGCAGAATATTAAAAGAGAAATCTTGCATTTTGATATATATTTTTTATCATTCAAGCACATTATATCAATATGGGTAATAAAGAATTATAACTTTTGATAAAGATTTACTCACCGCAACAACAGAATCATGAGCTGCAACAGCTAAAATATCAGCGCAGGAGACAATGTTGCCATGACAGGCCTTATCCACAGCGGCTTTGATCTGGTCGATAACGTCGAAACCTCTCACAGAGTTATTATTTGGTGTTGCCGTCTTTTCTCCAATAAAAGTCGGTGTATCATCAAGCAAAATAGAGCCATCACATCCCTACAATAAATCAAAAATAAAAAATATAGCTTACCAACAAATTTAAGAACTGATAGGGTTCATTTGAGTTCAAAATTAATCTTTTAAGTTATCATGATTAGTATAAAATTTCAATTTGATTGGTACAAATTTCTCATAACATTAGTTTTTACACTTTCTATTTGACTATAATCTTTCTATTATTTTTCTTTTTTCAAATTTTTTATGTAAGAGAAGCTAAAGTTTTCTATGCCAAATATACTATATTGAGATAGGATTGCGAGAAAAATAAATTTTTGAAAATTTTGAGTATTATAACCATTTTTCTTTTCAGAAAAAGTCGGACAATAATTTTTTTACTATTATGAAACTCTTGTAGATCTAATGGTAATAATCTACTTGTAAAAATAACAAAAAATTCAAGCTAAATAAAAGTGTGACACCTGTCTCTAAAATAAAACAATTAATAAACTTTCATAAAAATATTTTTAAAGCAGTAAGAAGATTGTAATCAATTATAAATATGGAAGTAATCTTAAATAAAATTATGAACAAAGATGCCCCAAACAGACTCTAAGATATTCAATTTCTATAAATTATTGGAAGTTTTACGTTAACAAAGCAATCATGAAAATGAAGTCGGAGAAGAGAAGCGCCCATGCGTGGCTCACGAGCGATGGCTCGCTCGACCACTGTTTTAATGGTTGGCAATGCTTGAGGACAAAGCTTTTCATAGTAGTTAGGATTAAGTTGAGCCATTAATGGAGCAAAGGAAGCAAGAATCATTGTGAAAACTACAAAGAAATTAGAAGAAAGGGAGAACATTTTTGCAAGATAGATTTAGTGAACAAGGGACTAATTATACAAGTGTTTTTATTGAGCTAAAGAAGATCTCTGAATGTTGTTTATATAGTTCATCTTCCTGTTTTATATTCAGATTTGGTATATTTGGTATTAAGGAGTTGATTAACAAGACAGTTAACTAACGAAGAAGATCATGACAGCAATCAATAAAGAACAAAATTCTAGTTGTTGGAATTGCAATTTTTTAGACAGTAGGATTTGACAAAAATGTCATTAATCTATGAATATTTTTTATGAAATCACGAAAACTCTAAAGAAAAAAAATGTTTGATGAGAATATCCTAACTCAATTCTTATTAGGATAAGCTTTAAAAATGAATAAATTACTTGTAAATATTTGAATGATTTGCTAATTTTTTTATAAATTACGTGACAAAATTTTTAATTATCTGTAAATTAAAATCATATAATTTAATTTCGTTTAAATATAAGATAGAAACTGAGTCAGAATAGCATGATTTGTTTTTCATAATCTAATGGATAAATGTTGACAATTTTGGTGAAGCTGTTGACAATGGGGTTGGGCTACCTAACCTATATCGATATTAACACTTTATAAATGCAACATGAATACATCATATCTATGATCTTAACTAACAAACTTTTCTTATAATTAGAAGAAATGATAAACTAAACATGTACCATTCTCTCTCTCCCTGTCTTTCTCACTCTATTTCTCTTTATAGGACATTTAGACTAATTAAGACAAATTCATCCACACATCATACACGCAAGACTTGAAACTAAGATCTCTTCGTTGATAGCCAAAGCTCCAAACCAACAGACCATGATGAGCTACGTTCTCACTCACTCTTACTTCAACTCATTTTTTCAACTTTAAAGCCACTTTCCAAGTCTCAGTTAAGTCTGTGATTTCCAAAAAAGGAGGGATTTGTTGGATCTTGAAAGCGATAACAGTGAGAAATTAGCTCAACCAAAGCTCATCAACTGATTGCAGAAATTGACTATGTTGACTACTTAGCAACTAACAGGAATCCCACTTGCAGTCTGCTCACCTGCTCCAACTAAGAATACTTATAATTAAGAAAAAATGTTTTCAGAAATAATAAAATAAGTAATTATACTTGTCATGAATATATATAGATATATATTTACACATCAATATTGACGTTAAATCTGGCTAAATTAATCCAACTAAAGTGTTAGGTAGTTATTTTTAAAATTTAGGATTTAAATTATAAGCATGAGATTTAATAACAAAAACAATAGAAAGGTTGGTGTGAAGTTAAGCCTCTATTGATAAGGAAATCATTAGAAAATTATGCATCATGGATGCCAATAAACAAATAAGATGATTAATGACTACAGGAAAAAATAGCTACTACAACATTTAATTTTGGGTTTTCAAGCAATTTTAATCAACACAATAAACTTTGCAGAAATTTTAAATCCACTGTATGATCGCCAAGGTTGATGTCAGCTGAAAAAAAAAAAAACACAATAAGTACAAGCTTTCTCCAAAAAATGTCGAGCAAACTAAAAAAAACTTCAAACAAACCCATATGCACAAAATAAAAACTTCCTTCAACAAAGATCATAGTAAAAAAGATAATTTGAATAAGCGAAAGGTATTATGATAGATGTCACCGCTACTATAGAAGAAGAAATATTGCACCTCCTGAAAGAAAGAAATGTTCAACAGACAAACCAAATTCCAACATAAACGGGAATAACCAAACTGGTCAGCAGAGGAATCAGTCTCCATTAAACCACACACGCAAAAAATAAACTAGAAAAATAACTAAAACTAGCACAAACCAAACCTCACAGCAGCCCAACCAGAATACCTAGAGCACCACTTAGCTTGGACCAACACCCATTAAAAGTAACTCAATGACGAAGAGACAACCAGCAACATAGACAACAACCACAGAAAGGTAGGAACCAGCACACCCAACACAGAAATGGAAACCAGGCAAAAGAACCGGACATCCAGAGATAAACTAACAAAGATAACCAAGACCTCAAACATTACGGATATAAGACAAACAAGTTTTGTCCAAGTTACTAATACCTTTCACCATAGTAGGTAAATATCTAATATTCAACTCTTAAAAACCATCAAGTTGACAACCCAGTTTTGCTAACTAGTGATCAGCACACGAATTAGCTTCCCAATAAATATGAGAAATATAAAAATTAAGAGTAGAGAGGGACTGCTTAATTTTTCTAATAAGATAAAAATTTTAAGGATTACCAGGCGACACATTTTCAATGATCTTAATTAAAAGTATAGCATCCACCTCAATTCACACATACTCAAAACCCAATCTAATACAAATATCTAGACCATAGGACAAACTCATAAGCTCGACAGTAATAACATTACAAAAATTTAAAGGACCTGTAAAAGCAGCTAACACACATCCCAAATGATCACGAATAATTCCACCTGCACCTACACAATCGGGCCCAACATACCCATCAGCGTTAAGTTTAATATATGTAGCGAAAAGTTTAATCCACCTAACAATACTCTTCTCAATACAATCAGACGGTACACAATTAGTTGAAATACCCTAATCTAAAGTCATGTTAATGTAGTTGTAGAAATTCTTAACAATAATAAGATTGACAAAGTAAAATTGCAAAATTTTGTTTATAACATTGGAAATAATTTGATTGGCATCCATCTTAATGTCATTATACTTTGAATCATTTATAGCTCTCCAAAGATACCACAAAATAAGGATGGGCATTAAGTTGTAGATGTGTCCTTTAGAGGTAGACATCCAACACTTTAACGTAGACAAAACATCATTATTAATATTAAAATTACCCATCTTAGCCAGAGCAAAAAATAACTCCAAACTTTATAAGAATTATCCCCATTAAAAAAAAAATGATTGTCATTTTCCACATTATAACATCATTGACATTTGGAAGGAAAACTTAAAACCTTTTTTTCATAGCAAGATAGAGGAATATTGTTATGCTAGATAGCAGAATAAATATAAGAATTTTCATAATTAAATCTAATAGTATTCCAAATATTCTTCAATTGTGAAATTTACTAGAGGAAGACAAATTAAACAAAAGTTTATCCTTGCACTGTAATTCTAAAGGAATAGTCAATATATTATGAATTAAAATAGTAAGAATGACCTCTAAAAGTTTATTGACATTTCAAATACTATTAATATAGGTAAATCACTCATTACCTGTGATTTTGGCCGGCGGTTAACTTTCCGGCAGTTGTGTAAAAAACTGGCAGTTTTTCGGTGGTTTACAAACCACTGGAAAAAACAGTGCCGGAAACCATTATTGGTGGTGTTTTTATGGCGGTTTGCTTCACCAAAGGTGTAACGGCGGTTTGTACCATCGGTTATATTTTAGCAGTTTGAGCGCCGGTCACTGCTGGTGTTGTGACCGGCGGCTCACCGGCCATTAAATCACTGGTAAAAATACCATCGTTGGACCGCTGGTAAGCCACCAGTAATAGTACCAGCGACTTACCGGTGGTTACAACCAAAGGAATTGCCGGCGGTGTGACCGCCGCGTGTCGTCGGACTACCGTCAAATACCGTCGGTTAACTGCCGGTACATACCGACAGTTATAGAGGATTTCTGACAATGTCAATCAGCCGTCTTGTATCGAACTTTCTGATGGTCAAAACGCCAGTTGGTCGCCGAAAACCTTTAGTATATGAAACAAAATTGATAGCGTCCCCTCTATTTGAGGGATTTTCACCCTAAACTCTAAACATGCATAGAAAGCAATCACAATAATTTTGGGCAACACGCCACTTGTTTATCTCTACGATCGCTGGGATATTTACTGAAATAAACTTGAATAGCTTGACTTGCTAATACAAATGGATCAAACTTCTTGTATATTCTACTATGTTTTACATCGACTAAATCATACGCAGGATGAACCATTGTACCTCTATTATGTACTCGATCATATCATTAACAGTTAAACAAGCATAAAAAGTTCTCATCTTCGCCTGGGTACTCCAGGTCAAGAACCTCATATAGAATACAGTAAAAAGCACACTCATCTTCTTCATGAGTGTTCCCTCTAACACATATTTCATAATTTTCAGTTTTTCCTCTATGACTTGGTATGAAATCTAAACCAATTCATTATATATATTGGCCAGGTTTTTACTTTTTGCATAGTGCTTGCAAACTTTTATTAAAATATTTATTATCACGATTTTATACCTAGAAATATTTTAAAATATTAATATTTTTTGTAATAAATATGATGTAATTCAAATTAAAATTTTAAATTTTATGAGCTCGCATAAAATCTGAACCAAGTTGGGAATTCATTTGCAATAATTTGCTCAACATCCCTCGAATCTGTTAGAGGCAAATTGCTTACGAAATACTTGGTGATAAATTATCCAAATAATACTTTAATATTTTAAATAAATATTACTCATTTTTTATATTATGAAAGAACTTACTCTAAGATTGACTCAACTTCTTCACAGTTTAGTACCACATATAAATTTGATGTTTTGATTTCTAAATCATTGAAAAATATTTCAACACATTTGCCACTGGGCTTTCCATGACTTCTAAATACTGATAGTGCAGCATATAATTATTTTTCTACATCGAATTTCATATTATAACTAATTTTATTCTTGTACTCCTTACATGGGGCTCAAAGTAGTAGGAGAAAAAGTGAGTGGTTTCTTCAGACAAACATACTTCACATATCAATCATTCTGGTCATGCTTTATTCTTAACATATTTCTTCAACTTGTTTAAATATCTATTAAATAATTACAATTATCAAATTAATAAACATATGTTCTCTCAACTTATTCAAAAATATTGGAGACTTAATAAAAATATGTTTTATCTCTCCAAAGAATATATCCAACGATATTGTCCAAGCCCACCAACTCTAACTTCATAAGGTAGGTGAACTGGAAGATGTTCCATAGAATCAAAAAACCCAGGGGAAAATTTTTTTCTAA